CAACCTCAGACATTGCAGTACACTAACACCAGCACCAAGTCTTGTTGTTATATCAAATATACTTAGTATCACTACCTGTTTACCAAAATAAATAGAAATGTATATGAAAAAGAATAACTAAAAATTTTTAAAATAAGAGAAAAATATTTAGTTACTCACAATTAATTCAAATACATTAAATCTTGATTTGCAATATCCATGAAATGACAATGCAAAAACCTTTAACAGCATTTCAAGAATGAAAAATACTGTAAAAATTTTTTCAGCTAATTCTAAAAAAAAATAAAATTCATCTTCTAATTGATAAAAATAATAATATAATAACAGGTAAACTAAAATTTAAAATAAACTTAAACTAAAAATTTAAAAAAATTTAACAAAATAATAAATGATAAAACTAAACTTACTTTGAATGTCTGTTAGCCAAATCGGTTGTTTATAATGATATGTTGCTAAGATAAAAGTGTTTATTGAAACCATGGCCACAACAAACCAAAAAAAAATGTTACGCTTGATAAAATTGCGTAGTTTAAGTCGCAAGTGCTTTATATGGAATGAAATAACCGATTTGGAATGGTAACTTTTTATATGCAGTTGTAAATTCAAAGAGGAAAGAACAACAGCTGGATTAGAAATAATGCTACTTAACGAAGTTTCTTTTTGAGACTCTTTTGTATTTTCACTAATAATGGTCAGATCTTCTAAATTGAAAGAATTTTTAGATATAAATATATATTTGTAAATAAATGTATGTAGCATACATACATATATTTACAAATATATATACATAATATGTATGTATGTATGTATGTATGTATGTATGTATGTATGTATGTATGTATGTATGTATGTATGTATGTATGTATGTATGTATGTAAATATAAAAATATAATTAAATAAACTATAATTTAATTATAGCTTTTTTTTTCTTAATGTTTATAAAATGATTATCTTTTAAATTTATTTTAAATTTTGCTTCTTTTGAGAGCCAAAATGATATACTTTTAAAGAAATTTATTTTTAATAAAATTAGGTACCTGTCTGATGTTTAAGGGACTTGAGCTACCCCTAAAAGTATTTTTTTTTTATGAAAATTTTTTAAATCCAGTATTATTTTATTATATAGAACACATTTAAAGGGTGGGAACAGACATTTTAAAATAAAACTTATTTTTTTAAATGTCTGCTCCCACCCACCTGCTCCCACATATGTATGTGTGTGTATGTATGTATGTATGTATGTATGTATGTATGTATGCATGTATGTATGTATGTATGTATGTATGTATGTATGTATGTATGTATGTATGTATGTATGTATGTATGTATGTATGTATGTATGTATGTATGTATGTATGTATGTATGTATGTATGTATGTATGTATGTATGTATGTATGTATTAGGAGACATCCTAACACTATACATACATACATTTATACATACATACATACATACATACATTTTTTTTTTTTTTAATATGCGGTAGTGGTGTAGTGGTAAAACACTCGCTTCATAAGCGAGAGGTTCCGAGTTCGATCCCCACCACGTCCCTAGTAGTACCGCGCTCAACTTGTTTCTCAAATGCAGCGGCATTAATCAAATGCAGCGACATAAAAAAAAAAAGACAAAATAATGGTAGAAAGCAATGCACCATTTACCTAACAACCATCATAAACAATTAAAATACTAAAATAAGTTTTATTGGTGATCAAAACCACCAAGAAAACATTTTTCTGATCATTTACAAGATGAATCACTTAAGTTAAATAATTTTTTTTTTCTCTCAAAAACACTAGTTTCAAACCAAGGATGATTGCAAAAGGCCTAAAAACTTATTTATTATATATTTTATTTAAAAAATATATATTTTAATTATTTGACTATAGGAGTATGCTACAATTTTTTATGGTTTTTTTAAACAGCTTGTTTACTTTCTCTTCGCTTCTTTTAGTTCATTTTCTTCTTTCAATTCTTTTAGTTCATTCTCTTCTTTCAGTTCTTTTAGTTCATTTTCTTTTTTTCAATTCTCTTCAGATTAAAAATTATCTTCAGTTTATTTTAGATGTACAAAATATGCACAATATTTTTAACTTCTATAATTTTTATTTTATATATTTATATTGAAAAAAAAATAATAATAAATAAACTGTATATGGTTACTGAAAATAAAGTTATTAAAATAGTGCAAAATAATCTATCATAAAAGTCTTAGAAAACTTTTTACCTCCTCTAGAAATCCATTCTAAGTAAAAATCAGAAATTTTTTGACATTGTTGGTCTTCCCGCAACTTGAAAAATGATTGCCTATTTTCGACCTTTTCTCGTTCTTTAGCAAATTCACTAAATGTTAGTTTGTAATAAGTTAAGAAACTTTGAACCCTAAATAATCATTGGGGTCATCAAAACAAAACTGTAGCTTAGCAATTCACCTTTTTTTTTTCTTATTTAAATAATTTCATAGATTTTACTTTTTTGATTTTTAAAATTTGAAATTTATTTCAAAAAATGTGAAGCATATAGAAAAAAAAAAAAAAAAAAAAAATTAAAGACTGAACCTTAAAAAAAACTCTCCAAAAAACTGATCAAGAATCTAAACTTTAAAAAACACTTTTTAAAAAATAAAAAACTTTATTTTATTTTGTCGCCTGAATGCTACATGAAAAATTCTCTGTATGCAAAAAAATTTATGCTAATAATGCAAAAAAAATTTTTTAAATACAGTAATAAATGACCTGCTAAGTACACCAAGTACCAGATGTAACATAAAAAATGAACCAATCAAAATTAAAGTTACATAATATGTATTCCAAATAATGCCAACTAAGTCCATTACATCTTGTGTCTAAAAATTTAATAAAAATATTAAATTTTAAATTTAAAATATTAAATATGTTAAATATATAATAAAAATATTAAACTTCGAATTTTAAAGATTAAATATATTAACAGGAAAATTAAAAGGAAGCATACATAATACATAATATCAGCCCATCCTTCTAATGTAACACATTGGAATACAGTAAGCATTGAATAAAATATGTTATCAAAAGATGAAATCCCTTGGTTAACACCAGGAGTAAATCTGGAACAAGTTTCATTACTAGAACATTCATTACCATGAACAAAAAAGTATTCATTAATCATACTGTCACATGCTCTGTAGGTACCATCATTAGATAAACTAACTATAAAACAAAAAAGTTTTAAAAAATTATAAAGGTAATATATAAAATATATTTACATAATATATAAAAAAATATACATAATACAACTTTTATAGTCATATTAAATTGAATACTTTAAATTTTTAAAGATTATAAGCAACGCTTTCTTCTTTGAATCTCACTAGCCCTAAAAAGATTCAAGAAGATTTTAAAAGAAAGAAAGAAAAAAAGAAAACCTTAATGAATTGTCAATTATTCTATAAGGCTTTCAACTGTTATTGAAGCTCCTATATATTCCTTAAAAATAGATCCTAAAATAATCTTTGGGCTACAGCTTGTCATTACATTAGCTTTTATTAAATGCATGGCACATTCACTACAAATCAAAATCTTTTAGAGAAAATTTGTCTAAATAAATTTGATACAAATGTACTAAATTTAATTATAACGTTGTAACCACAAAATTGTGAACAAAAACATTAAAATATATTTTCTATTTAAACCAAAAACACTCCCAAAATAGTGCGATTTTGAACAAAAACAATTTGGCCACTGTTAGCAAAAATGCGAGGTATCTGTCAAGTTAGTTCGAAAACTGCAATATGAAACCTGTGAAAGCTTTTGATTATGGTATTCCAAAAATGTAAAAATTTTAATCATCTGCTTATGTCCAAGAAAAAAAATCAGTTTTAAAAATTTGTTTTATTGCATATATATGAGAAATGACAGTATCTTCAAACTTTTTGCATTATTACAATATTTATCAACAATGAAACTTTTTAATATAAATAAAATAATAGATTATATAATAACTTTTTAATAAAAATAAAATAATAGATTACATTACTTTTTACTATTTAAAAGTTTCAAAATTTCGGGAAAAGACACTTAGTCCAGAAAGAAAATCTGTGAAGTAAGCATTTTTAAAGCTCTTGTAAAAAAATGCCTAAATCAGCAAGAAATCATGATGAAAATCAAAAAGTTGCATATCTTATGTGTCTCAAAAATGCATATAGACATCTCACATTATTTTCGGAGAAAAAATTCTAATTGCCTATGACCAACAAATCAAATTTGATGACACAAGAGTTCCCTAAATCATTTGTGAAAAATGTAGAACTGCTTTAAGTATAATACTATGAAGGTCATTAAGTTGAACTGCCAAACTTTATCAGTTTAAAAGGACTAATGTTAAAACACCCACTAAATGAAATCCTTGTGAATTTTTTTTTTGTATGTGTGTGTGAATGATTTGCTGTATTAATAAATTAATAGAAAAGCACATTTTTTTGATCACATTTGTAAAATAGTAGTTGTTTTAAGAATTTGCAACAAAATAAAGAAAAAAAAACTACAGAGAACAATTGGTAAAACAGCAATATTCGAAGAAAGGAAACCAATAGAAATAGAATATCTAAATAAAACAAACAAAAAAAAAAGAAAACTGAAAAAAAAAATTTTGATAAAAAAAATAATATACCTAAATATTTTAGTTTTTTTTTTTTTTTTTTTTTTTTAGGACATTTGTTATTTTCCACTACCAAAATTGACACAAGTAAATGAAAAAAGAAAATAAGATTATAACAAAAATAAAAGCATTTTTTGATAAAACTTATTAGCGACTTTTATTATCATTTTTATTAGCAACTTTTGTCGGTCATTAAGGAAATACTTTAATATTTGCTCTAAAAATAAGGACAATTTTAAAATTTGTTTTTTAAATGTTTTTACTAAACTGTTTTTATCATTGCACAGGAGAGCAAGGAGACTAATTACTGTTTATTTGTAAATTTTTATTTTATATTTAACGCCAATAGTTTAATGCCTGATAAACTTTTGTTATTGACGTTCCAAAAGATTGTGGGCTAGTACATTGTTAATTTACTTAACTTTTTTAGCTTAACTTAAAATTTTTAGGAGTCTATTTAAAAATTTTTGTTAAATTTTTAAATACATTTTTTCAAACAGACCAATCATGTTCATTATCTCTATTGGGCAATATAAAGGAAACAATTTCAGATAAAAACAAATATTGTAAATACATTTACAAAAGAAACCATGGTATTCTTTTATTTATTTTCTTTTATTATTACAAAATTTATTAATCAAATAATATATTTTACAAATAAATAGCCCTTTATTTTCTTATTTTCCTAATATATAAGTATTGAGAAAAAACGTCAAATGTCTTTTAAAGCAAAAAGATATGAAAACAAATAAACGTAAAAAAAAATTAACAAAGTTTCTCATAGTTCTAGAGTGCATAGTTTTTCTAGAGTGCACAGTAAGTTGCTTAAAAATTGTGAATAAATTACATATCAAAACATACAATTATTGTTATGAAATTATAAATTTGTTTTTATGAATTATAATATGTTTTTTTCCTCGACTTGTATCAAAATCTGTAGCTAAAAATTTATTTTTAATTATTAAATTTTTCTAATTTATTTAATCAAAATTTAATATTTCGTTACAATTTTGTTTCCTTTTTACGTATTGGTTCCTTTTTTCTCAGTAGATAATATAGCGAATTATTGAAACACAAATTTTGTCGCGAATTATTGAAACGCTTTAAAAGTTAAAAAATGAGAACTGCTGTGGTCAGTGTGTCTAAATTACTTTGACCATGGACAAGCAAGGCCTGCGGCCGCATGCATTTCCCGGGAAGGCTTGTAAATATAAAGCTCATTCTTTCTCTTTTTAACAACTATTTTAACTTAAATTTGTGATCTCTTGAAATTGGCTAACACTTTATGAGGCTTGAAGGCCCAATTTTGACTGCTTTATGGAATTTCTTTCAATTCTTGCCCATTGGAAGTGTCACACCTGAAGTTTATGCAGTATTTTTCTTGTCAAAGATTTAGTCTGACAATAAAAGAAGCAGCCTGAAATTTATAGCGAACAAATAACAGAAGTAATGCACCATTACTTTAATTGGAAAAGATACAAACACTCAATAAGTCATCCAGAATATAAAAAAAGGCTTGTACATCACTTGTTGATTTTAACAGGAAAAAAAATATTTTGCCAAGTCAAGTCAAGCAAAAACATTGTACTTTTATATATGTTCCTTATATTATTTGATTATGAATGCTGTAAAAATGCTAACTAATAGAATAATTATTCAGAATAATAATTATTATAATTATAAAATAATTATTATTATAACTGATAAAATACCTACTCATACTAATTTATTATTATAATAATATTAAAATATATAATAATATGTAACTATAATATTAAATATTATAATAATTAATACTATCACAATAATAATGATAACTATTATTAATATATATAATAATATGTAACTATAATATTAAATATTATAATAATTAATACTATCACAATATCTAATTATTATAAATATATTAAATCAAAATTAGAACGGTGGATGAGATAAAAAGGTAAACAAAAGGTTTTCTCTTTTTTAGGGAAAAGAAGAGTGGCTGTAGAGACAAAAAATTATAGAAATAGAAAAAAGGAAGGGTGAAAAATGGTAAAGGTGATAAATAAAGAAACAGAAAAGTGAAAAGATTAAAAAAAGAAAAAGCAGAAAACAAAATATGTAAAAAAAAAAATGAAAAAACTTACATGATCCATTAATTTTGTTTTTGCAGCTAAAGTGAAATCTATCAGCCATAAATTCTAAGCCAATAATAGCATATATACTTATAACAAACACTATTAGAAACAAAACTTGTAAAAGAGGAACAATTGCTCTTGCAATTGCTGTCATGACAACATGAAGACCTAAAAAAAATATCAAGCAACAAACTTTAAATTAAAAAAATTACCAAACAATAATTTTTTACAAGTTTTTAGAGATACAAAAAAAAAATTTTACAATTAATTTAACTATTTTTTATCAAAACTTTTACTCTATCCATCCTAATTAATGGAATAATTTTAGTTAGACAAAGCAGTTAGTTGACTAGATTTAGAAAACTTAAATGTCAACTAATTTAAGTTAATCATTGAAAAATTTAGTTAATTATTTTTAGTTAAACATTGAAAAATGATATCAACTAATTTAAGTTTATCATTAAAAAGTTGGTTAACTAAATTTAGTTGAACATTGAAAAATAGTGTTAATTTTTTTAAGTTAATCATTGAAAGTTGGTTAGTTAATTTTAGTTGAACTAAAACTAAACATAGTTAACAAACAAAACTAAAGAAAAAAAAAAAAATAATAAAATGTTAAACTCTATAAACTCCCATACTCTTAAGTCCTTAACACAAGGACTTAAGAGTATGGGAGTTTATAGAGTTTTTATCATAATTTCAATAATATTTAATATGCTGACTTAAGTTTTATACTTTGGTAAGAAATAAACCTAAAGCTCATTTTTGACAAATTGAGATTTACAAGGTCAGCAATTTTTAAAGCCTGTTTACACTGAAAGTGTTTGTAAAAACTTTTTTTATTCTTTACATGACTGAAAGTATTACTTTCTAATTTTTAAGGCAGATTTTCACTGATCTTTTTTTTTTAGTTTTGAGATTAAAGTTTTTGTTGGTAACAAGTAAAAATAATTAAACAGGGGAGTAGGGGGTCTTAATAAGCTTAGGTGGGTGAGAAAATTTTCCAAAAATTAATAACCATCCACCCCCCCTACCCCTATTATTAAAGACTTGAGAGTACCAAACAAAGAACAAAGTTACAAAAAAAAAACCTACAATTTATTTAACAACTAATTTAACTTTTTTATTTATTTACCAAAATCTTTTATAAAATAAATTATGTAATTTATTTCAGTACTAAAAAAAATATTTGTAAGCCCACAGAGACTAATACATAAAAAATTTCTATTAACAATATTACAAATATTTTAATGTTATTAACATATAGATAAAAAAAATATTATTGAAACAAATTTGTTTATTATATTACTTAATTTATTATTTATATTACTTACTTTGAAAGCCACTGACAAATTTAAGTGGATGAAGAACACGAATTACACGCAAACCTTTAACGTTTACTTCGCTAACTCCAGGTAGAATACCAGGTAAAGACAGAATACTAAAAGATTAAATTATATAAGTTTTGCATAAAACGTAATAACATTTTTGAAAACAAAAAAAAAATATAAACAATACATTTATATCAGAAAAAGCATGATAATATTTAAAAATTTTTAATGCTATGCAAAATAAATAAATATTTTTTTACATATACTACATACAAAAAGTCAGTAAGCAAGCTCTATTTAAGTTGAGAAAAGTAAAAATGAAATTTAAAGAGAGGGAAAACGGTTTAATGAAAACATAAAATAGTTTTATTCACAAAACATGAAGATGAAAGAGATTTCAAAACAATTGATTTTTTAAAAAACTTTTTTAAAAAATTTTTTTGATGAATTAAAGATTTATAATAAGAGCAAAAAAAAATTAAAATAATGTTGAATGAAAAATTACCACTGCAAACTCCAAGAAAAAAAATTATATTCAAGTGCAACTTTCAACAAGCCATGATCAGGATCATCACAATCACCCTGCTACTACTATCATGTAACCCAGTACTACCTTCTTAATGTCCTACTGCCTTGTAGGGTTTGATTTTTAAGGCAAAGTCTTAGAGAAATAAATTCTGACTTAGACTAGAGATGGTGTCTTGACTCATCTTGGGTTCGAGTTAATAATAAGTTTTTCTTAAAAGATTTGTTTTCTTGAAAAAGATACAAAAATTATTCCTATTAAAAACTGCAGCAGCTGCCGAGAAGAAACCAAGCTGCACAAGATAAAACCATAGAAATTAGGGGGTAATTAGGACTAAGTGTAATAAGTTGTAAGCACTGTTTTACATATACTGTATTTAGTATAATAATTGTTATAAAAAAACTTAAAAAAAAACTTTAAAAAATCTTTAAATGCATTGTTAAGTAGTATTTAACACTGTTACTAATAATTATTAATTAATTTCTAGCAACAATAACTAATATATAGAACTACATTATTGTTTTGTCATGCTAGTTTAATCTTCTCAGTCTCAATGTTCCTCTACTTTATAAAACTTCTTTTGATCTCAAACTGAGTTTTGCTTTGTTGCTTGTACATAGTAAAAGTTTGAAGATAATTTTTTTGGATTTTAAACTCATCATAGATTTTTATTACTTTTTAAAAAACATACTAAAACAGAAGAAATACTCCATAAATAATAGAAATTTTGATGTGTATTTGCATAAAATGTCTACTTGCGTATATTGTGAGATGTAATGTTATTATAATTATGAAAAACCAATGATTTTGGTTAATAAATATACTTTTGGTAAATAAAACATACTTAAGTGCCAAACTTAAGTATGTTCTTGTTTATATCAAATAAGAATGTTTAGGAAAATATTGAAACAACCAACTTATTCAGTTCAGGTGTAGATTTTATATAATCATAACCTTTCAATTTTGAACTTTAAAACCTCTCAACTTGAATTTAGTGTAAGAAAATAAAGAATAAAAGTTACTAATTTGTTGCCCTCACATTTGGGGTAAGGATGGTAAATGTTTTAGGGAATTTTTTTTTTTCCGGCTCCAACCACTGGATGAGTAGATTAAGATTATTTCTTAATCTTCGTATAAATCATTATTGCTTATTATTGCTTAGCTACAGCTCGGGTTATATGTGTATTACACAGTGGTGTAGCAAAGTATTTTTGGTCAGTAGACATACATAGCCAAGAGGCCTAGTTTCTGTTTCTCAGGAACAATAACTTTTCTAAAAAAAACAAAAAAAAACTCTTTAAAAATATCTTAGGGCTCCTAAACCTTGTGGCTTTAGGTTCAGTTGCTTGAGGGACTGTAAGTTTTGCTTATAATGGCCTTACTATATCTAGGCCACTGATACTACACACAGATAAAGATATTTACATGTTTAAAATATTTCATGCATTTCAAATATAAAAGTACATTAGTTGTTTAAACCAAGACTTTTAGAGTCAAAGAATATTCTTGAGCAGGTATACATTTTTAACCTGATTTTTATTTTTAATAAATATTATTTTATTTGTAAATTTAATTTACATTTGGTAGCATATTACTTCTATGTAATTTATTTTCATATGTAAATTACTTTTTAATATAATTTTTTTTAATTAGTTACTTTTACAGGTAAATATAAATTACAGTTTGAGGAACTTTTATATTATGTAATGTAATTTTTAAAAGTAATTAACTTTTAAATGCAAAAGTAAACAACTTTTTCATATGACTTACTTTTACATGTAAAATTAAATTACTTTTTGATGTAATCTTCTTTTACTTAACTTACTTTTGAAAGTAAAAAAACTTACATTATAAAGAGTCCTTTCAAAAAAATTAATTACTTATACGGAAATGAAAATTTACATAAAATGTCTAAAATTACTTATGTAATTTACTTTTTGATAAAAATTAACTTACTTGTGTAAGTAAAAAAAAAGTAAGTAAAAGAGCTATCCCTACTTAGTATTAAGTAATGATGAACATACACCTGACCTGAGTAAAAGCATATGTATAAACTTATATGACTAGACAAAAAATATATAAATTTATATAAACACTTTTGAAAGGTTGATAGAGCGTCTTTCATAATATAATGCAAATAAATTGAAGGTGTGTGTGTGTGTGTGTGTGTGTGTGTGTGTGTGTGTGTGTGTGTGTGTGTGTGTGTGTGTGTGTGTGTGTGTAGTTACAAACTTAATGAACATGTCATTTTCTGATGAGCTTTTGTATATAATAACTAGAATTCAGTTTCATTATCATGTTTCTAAAAAAAGTTGTTATTCACATAACAAATGCGCCTAGATATTGTTTACTGGTTATTTACAGTAAAATATTTTTCGCTTTGTTTTAAAATAATAAGTTATATTCAAATAAGTAATCATAATATATATCACATAAAAAAAACAAAATTTATAAAATAAACAAAAAACATCAACAAGTAATTAAAAAACTATATAAACCAATATATTTTAAATAAAAGGTTTCCATTTGAATTAACCATGATTTGTTTGTATGACATTTCAGATACAAAGTTTCTTTAGATTTGCTTATTACATTTAATGTAAAGCAAATCTAATACTTTCAAACTTTTAAAATTACACAAAAGGAGACTATTTGCTCAAAAAAACTTAATCCCATTGTTCACATGTTCAATCTTTTTGCTCAATGCACCACTTAAATATTTTTTTGGAATTGATTTCACTAAAAACGGGTTTTTTTAATTTGCTTTCCAGCAAATACCTCATTTTATGCATTTATTTGACAAGATACTGTTCATTTTCATATATATATATATATATATATATATATATATATATATATATATATATATATATATATATATATATATATATATATATATATATATATATATATAATATGTACATTATATTATATATATATATATATATATATATATATATATATATATATATATATATATATATATATATATATATATATATATATATATATATATATATATATATATAATATGTACATTATATAATATATATATATTATTATTATTATTATTATTATTATTATTATTATTATTATTATTATTATTATTATTATTATTATTAAACTGAATACCTTAAAATAATCACAATAAAATCGATAATATTCCATACAGATCTCAAGTACGAATTTTCATGCAATATGAATCCCATTCCAATAATTTTTAGAATTGCTTCCAGCACAAATACTGCAAAAAAATAGAGTTCTGTTTTGTCCTGAAAGTCAAAAGAACAACTTTTATAAAAACAAATATATTTTGACATATAGTACGCCAAATAAAAACAAGAATATCGAAATTATAAACATAGTTTTAATCTATGTCTAATATAAAATTATTAGCTTATTTTCCAACCTATTAATTTGGAAAACTTATTAGTAAATAGTTAGCAAAGCATAACACAATATTAGAAATAAACATGAAAAACAGAAAAGGAGATAAAAACAAATTAACATATATAGCATTATTTTATACTTACAGCAAACAAATTCATTTGAGATTTGTCGTGGAAAGGAAGGGGAGCATCCAATGCCATAATAACTGACGCAGAAACAATAGCAAGTAATATAAACCATTCAAAATATGTAACAAAATGTAAGGAAGCATCTTTTAAATTACGTTAAAGTTTAAAGTATTACAGATGTCAATATATTGACCTTTAATAATTTAGTTTAATACTTAAATGTGTTATTATGTAGGTAGGCCATAATATTCTACGGAGTATTTTAATTTACTTTTGTTTTAGTCGTATCACTTTAAAAGAAATAATTAGGATAAATAATTAATAAAATATCTATTAAGGTTTCTGCAGAAAATCTTAATAATTTTTGCGGAGTTAACTAACCACGTGCTCTTACCATTTTTACCACAAAATGCTACCACTGTTTAACTCGCATACTGTTAAAAAGGTTTGAATCTATTATAAAGGATTTATACTATTATAAAGGTTTTACCAAGAAGGTTTAATAAACCTTCTTGGGTTTTACTCATATATTTGAACTAATATAGAGGGTTAAAGCGATTTTAGAGGGCATCAGACCCGGGGATGGAAAATTAATTCACGCAACTTTAGATTATCTTTTACCCCTTTCAAAAATTTAAATCCAAAATTTCTCCTCGAACATTTTGTTGTTGTTGTTGTTGTTGTTGTTATTTATGTGCCCAAGAAGACCTTACGGTCTTGTCACAGAGTACCACGGAAGTACATTTAACCAGGAAGTTCACGCCTCCTTCCTTACCGTATGCGAAAAATATGCCCAAAGCTCGTTTCAAACCTAGATCTCCTGCTTATAAAGCAAGCGCTCTAACCACTGTGCCACGACCGCTTTTACGGTACGCTCGATTTTATCAACATCGAGCGTCGTAACAAGATTATTAGCCACAATGCAAATTAGGTCGAGTACAAATTGAGCAGCCATGGCATAGTAGTTTAGCCCAAAAAGCGACATTGGTACGGAAGGAGGCGTGAACATCTTGTTAAATGCTCACCCGCGGTGCTCTATGATAAGACCGTAAGGACTTCTAGAAGCACCTAAAATAACTACAAAAAAAAAAAAAAAAAAAATCATTGATGCCTCTTGTGTGTAAAGTCATTGTAAACACACAAAACATTTCCTGTTAACTTTTCACAAAATAATAACTAACAATAGTGCTCATGTCCCACGGGTAGTCATCTCTTGCAGAAAGTGGTCAGAACTTTTATTTTTAAAACATTTGCTGTTTAATGCCGTTGTTTATTTACAATTATTCAATGATTTATAATATTTAATGATTTATAATAATTAATATATATAATGATTTATAATAAGACTCCAAAATAGTGTTCTTTAGATTCACTATTACGGCTAGTAAAAAGGTTTTGAAAATTATATTAAAAAAATAAAAGTTGATAATGATGCAAAAGTGTAAGTTTTATATAGACTTTAATGTATTTAATGATAGATTGTAATGTTTTATAATGTGTTTATTATTCAAAAAATTATTTATTCTGGTAATCAACTAGTTTCTATAATTAAATTGTTTAAAACAAAGTCAAGAATTTACATTTTTTCCTGCCACCATTTCATTTATATATAGAAATAATGCTTGAAATCACATTTAAAGTCAAAAGATTAGATGTTTATTAGAGCGACCTTTTTAGGAAGGTTGGAGTTTCGCCAATGCTAAAAATTAAAAAAAAAAATTTTTTCAAACTTTTAAACTTTTGTTGAGATTTCTTGAAGAAGTCTTACAAAGTTTAAATTTTTTTTTCATTTGAAATTTTAATGGCGTGTTATTAGTTTATTTTTAATAATATATTTAATTGTGTTTAAACTTTCTCTAACGAGTTGTATAGAATATTAGGATAACTTTACATAATTTCGCTCATCACTAAATCTCGCCCACTTTGGTTATATAACTCAAACGCTGCACTATCAAACAGACGCTCATTAAGAGCAGTAAACCACTATTATCAACATCAAAATAACTTTGACCTTAAAGGAATTGTAAATAAAGAGGTATCTCTTAAAGAAAATTTGTTGGTTTTCGGTAATTTTTTTTGCTACTTAATTTGCCGAATTCAAACCAGCTAATGCAAATCTACCGAGTAAATTATTTATTATGCATTTTATAGATTATAATTTAATTTTGTTTTCCGCTGTTTATTCTAATGTTTTAGAACTAAAACATTAGGTCCAAAACGTTAGGTTCAAAAGGTCCAAAAATCATTTTATGCATAATAAGAATTTTTTTTCTTTTTCTTCAAAAGATTTTTGTAATTACTTAGCTAAATACTTATTCACTTCATCGCAAATTAAGTACTCGAAGTTCTAGGGTTGGGATTAGGTTACAAATACTAACATATGGTTTTCATTATGGTTTTTCATGTGTTAATATTTGTAGCTCTTGTAAATTTTGAACACTTTATCAAATTAATATGACATTTATACTACAATTTAATTTATCTAGGTATTGTCTTGAAAAAAAACATAGTTAAAACAAGAGGTGGGGGATGTAGATCATCACAAAGACTTCAGCGGATGTTGGTTAGAAAGATTGCTTCTGTAATAGAAGCTACATTATTTTATAAAAAAAACTCATCTTCATAATGATATAACTTTTTCAACATCTAATAGTATATTCTTTACACTTGTCAAATAAAACAGCTACCAACAATTTATGTTTCTTTAACTCGTGTCAATTGTTCCAATCATTACATTGATCAATTAGTCACAGTTAAGAAACGGGGCGAAATCCTGAAATGAAGTGAAGAAAATATGACGAGTGCAATTAAGCATGTTAGATCAGAGCCATCATTTCATCAACAAAGCTCCAATAATAACTTTATGCATCACAATGCTTACAAATAATGAAAACTAAAATGAATCCTGCTCAGTTGACAAGCTACAATTATCTGTTTAAAAACGATTTTTCTTGCGAAAAACAGATTTGTGACATGGTGTGCACTAAAACTTTTAGCTTTTAACAGAAATATACCTGAAGATCAAATATACCCAAAATATACCTGAACATCCCAATTAAGCATTAATAAAAGAAACAGAAGTTACTAAAAACAATTGTTCTTCGGTTAGTATTGTACAACTGTATTTTTGCTAGTACTGCTATACAATAATTATTATTTAAACTTTAGCTAGCAACTGTGACTAATATTTTATGTACAAACTGATAAAAGTTCTGAACTAAGGTGGTACTATCCTACATTTTTTTATTTTTTAAAATATAATATTTTTCTTAAAATGATAAACATTTTTAGATAGTAGTTTAAAAACTGAGTATAAAAAACATAATTTTTTACTTATTTGTCTCAAAAAAATGCAGAGTCCGCAAAAAAAAAGCAAAAAACATGCAGTCACAAGAACAAAAATGATTAGAGTAATACTTGAGATAAAAGCTTTAAATTTTACAAACATATAGGTAAATGGTTGGTGGAAGACCCCTAGTAGAATTTTTTAAAAATACAGAGCCAAAGTAAAATGGCAGATATTAGCCTGTAAAAATCATAAAAAGTGATCCGTGGGGTATGTAAAATTTTAAATTTTGGTCGAAGTAAAAAGTATTTTTTGATTATTCTACTACCAACCCTTTCTACAACATCAATGAACAAACTGTGAAAACTTCAAAGAAAAAGAGTAAATAATTTCTAGAAAGTAAATTTCTGAGATATGTTCTAGTTTAAAAATGTTTGAAAAATATTATTATTATTGTTTTTAATATTAAAAATATTAAAAACAGCTTTTACAATAAAAAATACCATAAACTAAAAAAATCTTTAATTATAAAACATACTAACTGGCCACAAAAATATGATTAACCTCCTTTAATATTTTGTTCTGTGACAAAATAACTTTTTTACAATACCAATGAAAAAATTGTGAAAATATGGCAAACATATATACAGACCTGGTTGCTAAGGCCGTTTCTAGGGATTTGAAAATTACCTTGTTGCCTTTAAATACTAACTTAAGTACCTTATATTGATTTTTAAAGGAAAAAAAAGATGTACTCGTGATCCAAGATGTTCAAACTGTTAAAATTTGAAAAAAAACTTTTTTTTGTTTTTTGATGTTTTTAATAGGGTAGTACCACCTAAAGTGATGTTTTTAATAGGGTAAAGTTGATGTTTTTAATAGGGTAGTACCACCAGCATAAAGTTTACTAACTTGCATTTCAAAAGTATTGCTTATTATTGTTTTAGGAATTCCAATCATAAACTATTCAAAAAATTAATTTTTCAGACTTTGATGCTTCTATGGATGCTGGAAAAGTTGCTAATTATCTAGAACAATTAAAAAATGGCACTAAAAAAGATAACGCAATTCATAGTTTCTTAAAAAGCAACGCTTCTATTTCAGAAGCAGAAACTGTTTGCATTATAAGCAGCTTGCATATCAAACCATTTGACCAAAAAAATGTTAACTTTATTGTGAATATTTTTACCAATCTAACTAAGAGAAATGAAAAAGAAATCTTAGAACCACCAAACTTTAAGTTCTAGGATAATTTCAGATTTTTCCATTTGCAAACTCTTTCTACCTTAGTAAGTCAATCATTTTACAAAGTGATCAATAGTTTCATAGCAACAATGCAACTTTTAATAAATTTTTAATTGTAAAAGAAAACAACTGCGACTTATCAATGCTGCTAAGCGACTCAAAGAAAAAGAAGAAGAAAAGGTATTGGTTGAGGAAAAAAAATCTCTGAGAGTTACCACAAAGTTCGGGAAACCATACGGCCTCAGAATTATTAAACTGAGTTTTAGAGCAGTACCCTCATTAAGAGATAACAGGAAGAGTTGCATAGCCTCTATTAAGGAGGCACAAGCAACAATCTATGAGAAAAGTCAAGAAGATCCAGCATTCGTCATCCTACGCAGGAAACAATGAAACACATGTTTACATCTACGTCAGCCTACTGTTATTATTTTTTGAAGGAGATATCAGCCGAATTTTATTTTTTTTTATTTAAGATTACTCTAATGGTTTTATGTGTGATAAGACCTAATGGTCTTATCACAAAGCACCGCTACAAGGGCATAAACAATTAATGAGTTGGTTCCCCATTTCAAGCCTAACCAATAACGTAT